AAGATAACTTTTAATAATTAATATTTATTTTATTAAATTTGAGTCAAAACTGACTGCGGAATTCCTAACGAATCCCACCTATATTTATACATTTTAAGAAAATTATTTCTACCATTTCTAACTTTTCTACTAATAAAAATTTAAGAACAATAAGAAAATAAAGATGTATTATCATATGACTATCTCGTGACTAAACTAAACTAAACTATAAATATTATTTTATCGGCTAATTATTTATCCTTCAGCTAATTATTTATCCTTGTTCCATTCGGTCTTCTATTCATCCGTTCACGTGATTATCCTGATTTCTCGGGTTACACCGCCAGATCCTAGAAAATAGAAAAGAACGGTTATTAGTAACCGTTCGTAATATTTTTTTAAAAAAATAAAAAAAAATCCAAGATTCTTATAAATCTTTGGAATTTTCCCGTTCTTCGGAACACAGAAGCCCACCCGAATCTATAAAAAATAAAAGAACGGTTATTAGTAACCGTTCGTAATATTTTTTTTAAAAAAAATAAAAAAAAATCCAAGATTCTTACGAATCTTGGAATTTTCCTGTCCTTCGGAACATCCGATCCTAAAAAAAAGAAAAAGAACGGTTATTAATAACCGTTTATAATATTAAAAATAAACAAAAAAAATAACCAAGTTTCGTACGAACTTACGAAACTTGGTTTTTTTCATTTTTCAAAAGTCACCCGAGAGCCGAACCTAAAAAAAAAATAAAAAATAACGGTTAGTATTAACCGTTTATATTAAAAATATAAAAAAAAAACTCCAAAGAATTCGTACTTACGAATCTTTGGAGTTTCTATACTTCAGAAGCCCACCCGAACGGCCGAACCTAAAAAAAAAGTAAAAAAAGAACGGTTAGTAACCGTTCATATTAAATTAAAAAATAAATAAAAATAAACCAAGTTTCATACTTACGAAACTTGGTTTTTCTATACTTCGGAAGCCACCAGATCCTAAAAAAAAGAAAGAACGGTTAGTAAACCGTTCATATATTAAAAAAAAACAAAAAAAAGTGAAACCAAGATTCGTAGTTACTTACGAATCTTGGTTTCACTTTTTCCGAAGATCGAATACAGGTCGAAATTAGTTAAATAGGGTATCAATAGGTTATCAATAGGTTATCAATCGGCTATCAATAGGCTACCCTATTGGTAGCCTATTGAACTTGCGCCATAATCCGTCACCAATCGGGCAGGCTGATTGATAACCTATTGATAACCTATTAATACCTTATTGATAACCAATTTGATAAAAATACCAATAGGATACTAATAGGTTATCAATAAGTTATTAATTGGCTAACAATCAGCCTGCCCGATTGGTGACGGATTATGGCGCAAGTTCAATAGGCTACCAATAAGGTAGCCTATTGATAGCTGATTGATAACCTATTGATAACCTATTGATAACCTATTGATACCCTATTTAACTAATTTCGACCTGTGGAAGCCCACCCGAAACCTAAAAAATAGAAAAAAACGGTTATTAGTAACCATTCGTAATATTTTTTTAAAAAAAGAAAAAAAAATTAAACCAAGATTCGTACTTACTTACGAATCTTGGTTTCTTGGTTTTCCTTCTTCGGAAGCCCATCCGAAACCTAAAAAATAGAAAAGAACGGTTATTAGTAACCGTTCGTAATATTTTTTAAAAAAAAGAAAAAAAAATTAAATCAAGATTCGTACTTACTTACGAATCTTGGTTTTCCATTCGTCGGAAGTCCACCCGAACCTATAAAAAAAAGAAAGGAATGGTTAGTAAACCGTTCCATAATAATAAAAAAGAAAAAAAAAATTTAAGATTCGTAATATAATACTTACGAATCTTAAAAAAGTACTCCTTTTTCCGTCCCCATTCACTTTCCCTTTCCCTTTTGTTTTACCCTTTCCTTTCATTTTCTCTTTCCCCTTCGTCTTACCCTTTCCCCTTCGTTTACCTTTTCCCCTTCGTCTTACCCTTTCCCCTTCGTTTACCTTTTCCCCTTCGTCTTACCCTTTCCCCTTCGTTTACCTTTTCCCCTTTGTCTTATCCTTTCCCCTTTGTCTTACCCTTTCCCCTTCGTCTTACCCTTTCCCTTCGTTTTACTCTTTCCTCTTCGTCTTACCCTTTTCCCTTCGTTTTACCCTTTCCCTTCGTTTTCCCGAAACCTATAAAAAAAAACAAGAACGGTTAGTAACCGTTCCATAATATTAAAAAGAACTACTAAGATTCTACTTACGAATCTTAGTTTTTTTATTATCACGAAGCTCATTTCGTCCGGCAATACCTGCAAGAAAAAGAAAAAAAAGAAACGTTAAAACATTTCTAAAGTAAAAAAAACCGGTTCTAAAGTAAAAAAAATGACTTCCCTTCCCATTTACCTTATTATCCAAAGTCCGGTGCGTGGTTTCGACCAGTATTCCCATAGAATTACTACGAAAAGGGAAAGGGCCACATTAAAATTTTTAAAAAGAAAATAAAATAATTTTTTTTTGTTTTTTTCCGCGCCTATAGAGCCAAAGGACGAGGAAAAGAAGGAATAAAAGTTTAAAAAAGAATGCATAAGATTCTTTTTTAAACTTTTGATACGCGTAATGTGTGACGTGGCTATTCAACCAGCATGGTTGGTTATTCGACCAATGTCTAATCGTAGATCATTGCTAATTAAGGTCGAATTTTTTAATTTTAGTCAAATATAGGCCGAATTTTACTAAGGCCGAATATTCCTTTTTCAACTAGTGGGGTCGAACCAATATAATAAAAAAAAATTTTTTTATAAAATTATATATTTATTTTCATATATATTATTTTTAATATTTTTTATTTATTTTTAATATTTTTTATTTATTAATATTATTAATTCGCAATTCGTAAAAAAAGTAAACATGAAAAAATTTACATTACATTTATATAATGATCGGTAGGAATAGTAGTGATAATAAAATGCGTTAATATTCGTTAATACCAATAATTAAATGCGTTAATACTAAGAATCTCTAATCGTTTTAGATCTAAACATGAATAACGACGATACTTGATGTAAAACCTGTCTCTTATACACATCTAGATGTGTATAAGAGACAGCTCNCGCCTAGAGAAGAGAAATTAGTATTAGCATATAGTATTGTATAACTAACAAGTATAATTGAAGAGTTGTAGATACGAGAGGATATTGATAACTTACAAAAATAAATGATTTTAATATACTTTTTTTTCGTTTTTTATATTAAAAAGCTCCTTATAATAAAAAAAAATCCAATTTTTTACTTTTTACACAAAAACTACCTAACTGACCGTCATTAATAACTTAGAAAAACATTTTCTTCTCGTGAATTTGCATATATTACTATTGTTAAAAATATTTTTTACTCCATTTCTCAACTTTAATCTCGAAGAAAAGCTTTTTTTAAGGGTTTTTTGCATGAAATGTAAAACGAAAAAAAAAAATTACTAAAATGGAAAGTAATGATAAAATTTATAGAACACATGATTATCTATAAATTTTGTAATTTACACAAGCGTGGTACATTTGGAATTTGACGTTTAATTATAAAATAAAGTTGTTGGATTAACATTACACAAAATCGATTTATTATGAAAATGATTTGCATGTGACATTTCTGGTGACTGATAATAAATTATCTAGTCCTTTTAATTTGAATGAAAAAAAAAATTTTTTTCTTTTCCTATTTTCTTTTACCTGTCTTTATATATATACATCAATAATGCCTGCCCAACTTTCGACGATACTTTACGTATCAGATTATAAAGAAAGAACCTTGAGTGACTTTTTCATAGGTTCTGCTCTTGGATACGCTCGGCTCGAGGAGGAGGGAGAGGCTGTACAAACTTTCAACATTACAGTATTTTATCCTGTAGATGAAACTAAGCCATGTTATGTACCGAAATTGAGCGAAGGACAAGTTTTATCAATTGCAAACTCTAAATTTAGTAAAAGTGCTAAAAATAATGAACTTGACGTAAGTATTCAATTTTTGTAAATAAATAAAATTTAATCATGTATTTTTGTTGTCATTAATTAAACTTCAAGAAAAAAAGGGAAAGAATATTGAAAAAAAATTATTATTAACCAATTTAGATTATCTTAACTTCGGCCACTATTTTGGATATATTGCCCGAAAATCTTCCAGTACACCAAATTAATGTAGTTGGTATCGCTGTGGCATCTGAACCTGCTCTAATTACTGATATTGGTGTTCAAATAGATTGTGTTATTACCGATTATTTATCAAAAGATAAACCTACTGAAGTGTCAATTACATTATTTCACCCAACCGGTAGCAGGTTTATGAATCAAACCACTATTGTTAAACGAGGATCATCTGTTTTTTTTTCAGGCACACTATCATCAATCAAAGGCAAGCTCTATTTAGAGCTACACAACTTTAGTTTCCTTCAAGGCCAACAATCTCCTATTACTTCATCCCCAACAAAACGTATGTCATGGCTAAATTCCTTAAAATCACCTGTTTCAAGTCCTGATGCATCACCTATCAAGCCTCAACTACCTCCTACTTCAACAACAAATACCACTTCCTCTTCTACTCCGCCAGCAGCAAATACACATACTAACGTGAAAACAATCTCTACTCCGCCAGTAGCAAATACACATACTAACGTGAAAACAATCTCTACTCCACCAGCAGCAAACACACATACTAACGCGAAAACAATCCATAAAAACTTGCAACAACCCAAATAACCTACAAAAAGAAAACCGAGATCATCTTTTCGTGTTAACAAATTACAAAAATTAGCAGATATCGCTTCAGACGTTCTTGCCACCACTGATTCCAATAATAATTTGGATAACCCTAATTAGCTTTTTACATTTCACTTTTTTACTTTGATAGTTCTATTTTTTTGATTCTTCATTCTCTACATTTCTCATTTTCCATTTTATTATATCCCTTTATAAATATATCATTCTCTTTTTGTTTTATCTTATCTGTATTTCGCATTTTCTTTATATAAATAAAATATTTGTTAACATGGACATATAATAAGTGATGTATATTAAACTGTTAATCATACTACACTAATTTCAAATCCTCATCCTCAGAATGTCAGATTCCAATACTGTATATGAATCGGAATCCATTTGCTATATCAAAAGTAGTGGATTTTCACTGCCTACATCGTCATCATCAGAGGAGGATGAAGATTATATAAAAAAGTCAAAAAGCGTATAAAGAAAAAACAGGGAACACGCAGCGACATGGATTTTGAAGAATCAGAAGACGGTTTGAGAGAAGTTAAAGTTAAAAAAAGAAAAGAACCCTGGGCGTAGATAGCTCTAGATAGGTTGGTGTAGTGGTTAAGGTGTTGATCAGGGACGGGAATCGCTTTGACATGAAGAGAGCGAGTGGTTTTACATACTTAATTTCAATGGATATATTGAGATTATTCTATAGCTTGTATTTGTATTTGTGAGCAATATACCATTTACAAGGGTATTATAATTAAATAAATATGCGTTTGTCATCGTAAAAAAAAAAAAAAGATTCTGTTCCAAATGTCGCACAAGGCCGTATTGTAATTACGTCAAAAATAAATGACCAAAATAATTTTTGACAATCAAATTTAATTGGACTAAATAAATCAGATTTGATAAATTATTTATCGATCTCTTTTTTTTCAATTTTTAAATAAAAAAAAAAATTTCGTATCGGTAATATTTTTTTTTATAAACTAAACCCTTTTTTTTTATATAATTTTTTTTTTTATATAAACATTTTTTCCCGTTATGGCTTTTTTTGTTATTTAATTTTTTTTTATCAGTTTTATTTTTTATTTTTTAAAAAATATATTTTTTTCGATTTTATTAAATCATTATTTTTTTCAGTTTTACACCTGATTTTTATTTTTTTTATATAAATTTTTTTGGGATTTTGATTTTTCTTTTTTTAAAAAAAAAATTTCAAATATAAAATCAGGAGCACAGAACTTTATTTAGGACTCGACTTGAAAGGTAAATATCAAAAAGTTTTTAAATTCACTTTTTAAAAATTTTATTAACGTTTATTTTTTATATTTTATAGGAAACGGACTCTTGAAATCTTGGAAACGATTTCGTAAGTTCATTGGGGACAAAGGTTTTTTTTAATACTTAAGAAACGTTTTTAACGTTTCATTTTTCCTTTGTTTTTGTAGGGAATGGCCTTGAAGATCTGGAACTTATCTGGGTAAGTTGTAATGGTGGCGTTCTATTCGGAATTGGCTTAAGAAACGTTATTAACGTTTTGTTTTTCTTTTGTTTTTGTAGAGAACGGCCTTGAAGACCTGAAACTTACCTGGGTAAGTTGTAAGAGTGGCGTTCTATTCGGAATTGACTTAAGAAACATTACTAATGTTTCCTTTTATCTTTTGTAGATTTCTGTTCCTATTTCGATTTGGATAATTCAGATAAATATTCTATTATAATGACCCAATGATTCCATAGTCTAACCAATCAACACAAAGAGAAGTGGAAATGGTTCTAGATGACAAAAACAACAATTTAGAGGACAAAGACACGAAAAAGAAAGATGAGAACAATGATTTAGAAGTAGATAGCGAATTATAATGATGATTGATAATAACGTAAATTTGAAACTTTTTTTATCTTTTTTCTTGAAAATAGATTTAACATTTCTTTATTTTTTTGTTTTGTAGATTTCTTCGATTTCATTTTACTATCTCAGATTCTTGGTAAATTTATTTTTTAATTTCCTTTTTATTAATCTTGAAAAACTTTTAACAATTCATTTTTTCTTTCTATAGGTCCTTTGCTTTGATTTGCATGGGTTAATAAATGTCATCTTGAAACAACATTTTCTCTACTTATCGTAGGTCACCTTTTATTTTCGAATATAATAGGTTCATTGAATGAATAATTTTAAAACAGCTTTGAATTTTTTTCTTTAATTTTTTTTAAAGTATTTTTCAGTTTCTTTTTATTCAAACTTTTCAAGATTAGTACATTTTGAAACTTTCGTTTTGAATAAAATTTATTATTCTTTTTTTTCTAAAAGACATTAAAGCATGATACTTATGAATTACTAAAAAAATAAATGTTCTAATTTAAAAAAAATGATTTATTAATTATTTATTTGTAAATAAAAAAAACTTTTTTATTGAAAGCACATGACACTGATAAACTTATTTTTTCATTTATCATTAACAATTGATTAATTGAAATATTAATATTTTTAGAAAAAATAAATAAAATTACAAATAAAATCCAAAAAGAAATTTGATAATAAATTGCCACTGATTTCGTTAATATATTCACTAATTCTTTTTAAGTAAAACAATTAAAAAATAAATGTAATGATTTTACCATAAAATAAAAATTTTTAAATAAATTTGTTAGGTAATTTAAAAAATTTCATATTATAATAATTGCCAAAATTCATACATTTCGCACAAAAATCAATGAATTCTCAGCCTTCGGCATTCTTGATTTTTCAGCATTTTCGGCATTTTTCGACATTTTCAGCATTTTTCAGCATTCTGCCCATTTTAAGCATTTAAGATAGTCGATCACAAAGCCTTTGACCAGCACAGCCATGACCAATCCCGATCAGTTAGCATTTTAGGCATTTAAGATAGTCGATCACAAAGCCTTTGAGGCTTTGATCGACCAATATCAGCCACGGTCATGACCGACCACGACCAGTTAATATAGTATAAAATAATGCATATTCTGAACTTTTTTTTTCTTTAAAAAAAAATAAGCACAGCCATGACAAATCCTGATCAGTTAACATTTTAGGCATTTAAGATAGTCAATTACAAAGCCTTTGGCCAACCAATATCAGCCAAACAGCCACAGTCATAATCAATCCTGATCAGTTAACATTTTAGGCATTTAAGATAGTTGATCACAAAGCCTTTGACCGACCAATATCAGCCATGGTCATGACCGATCATGACCAGTTAACATAGTATAAAATGAACCTTTTTTTTTTTCTTTAAAAAAAATTAAAATTTTAATAATTTTTTTTTAACTTTACATTTAATTACTATGTCTTTCAATACATATCAACATTATACTTTTGATACAGATCCTCTTACTGATCATCAAAGTGATCCTGAAATTATGTTAAGACAATTACAAAATCAATTACAGTCTCACCAATCTTGGTGATATGAAAATTCAATGCCTATTATTGTAAATTATTCACCCATTGACCCTTGGATACCAAGCACAAAATTCTTAACCCTGCTATCAAATTTTAATTTATCTATTTTAAATCAATTTATTTGCGCTGTATGTGCATTTTGTGGTCGTCTAATATATCCTGAGAAATGTGAATGGTTACCTTATGATGAGAATTTTTCTTACCCTCTTTTGCAAGCATACCCAGAAACTGAACCTAAATCATTATTAACTTTTCACATTAAACCTCCACGACGCATTGCTGTATATTTATCATGTAAAAAACCTACTACTAGATATGCATTTCCATTTCTTTATCCCATTCCAAATGAAATTCAAGCCATACCTATAGGAAAACGAATGTATTTATCTCCCGTATTTATACATTATTCTTTAGGTAGAACTTCTGGTCAAAGTGCCATATATACAGAATACAGTACATTAACTGGATCAATGAACCTTTCAAAAAATATGTGTGCTTTAACATTATATTCTGGAATGCTTGGTGCTTACCTTGATAATAATTCATCAAGAAATAATAATTCTTGGCTTGATGATACTTTAATTGAAGCAGCCAATTGGTTAAAACAACATAACCCCTTTTTAAAAAATTATTCACATCTTTTAGATTTACCTGGTTCACAAACAGCTAATCCATTTCCAAGTGCCTTTCATTTACCTGATGATAATTCAGCACCACCATATTTGCCAAATGATATTGTAGTTCCTAATGCTAATTTTAATGTTGAAATTCATAATGATGATTACCATTATTCTCATTTAATGGCAGGATTTATCAGAACACCAGATAGTACTTTATTACCTTTAGCTATAAATGATCCAGATTTAGAAGCATTATTATTTCCTGATTTATTCCCAAATGGAAAAGGATATTATAATGATAATACTTCTAATTCAAATCTTACTCGTGAAGAAACATATTCCAAATATATCAAATAAAGAGTCTTAAATAGTGCTCTGAACGAGTCGAGCCAAATCGGGTTTAATTTCGAGTCGAGTCGAGTCGAGTCGATTACGAGTCAAATAATTTTTATACTCGTGATATCAAGTCGAGTCACGAGTCGATCACGAGTCGAGTCAAATCCGAGTCCCCTATTAAACTTGACTGACCTGGTTTGAAATCGATGATCAATACTTTTTTTTTTATTTTAACCATAAGCCCGAACTCCAAAATGAGTGAGAGTTCATCAAGAACTTATAGTTCAGTATGGGCACACTTTACAATAGTTAAGGAAAAGGCACAATGTAATTACTGTTCGTAAGTATATTATTTAAAAATTATTATTATTAAGTTTTATAGGTAAATTTATTAATAAATAATTTAAAATAAAAAGTAAAGCGTATAAATGAACTGGTGGAAATACTTCTAACCTTCATAAACACTTAAAAAATAAGCATCCTAATAAAGTTGAGTCAGACATAGAAAATACCAGTGAGATTGATAAGTTTGTCATAAAAGAATTTCCCGTAAGTTTTTAATTTTTTTTTTGTATTAATATATTTAATATTTAACAATAAAACTAATATGTTTGAGTTTTAATAAATATATTTAGCGTTTTACTGCAGATTTATTTTGAGAATTTATTTTTAAATGGGTCGTTTGTGACGACCAACCTTTTGTAGTTGTAGAATGTGATCAACTTCGAAGATTATTTTGTTTACTTAATCCTAATGCTAAAGTACCATCTGCAGACACAGTCCGCAATGATATCATGAATGCATTTAAAGAAGAAATAAATAAAATACGGGGATACTTTACAGGTAAATTTTTTTATTACTTTTATTTATTTAACTAATAATATTATTATTAATTAATAATTATATTGATTATTAGAATACTCCGGGATGTCTTTCATTCACGCTTGATGCATGGACCTCACCAAGTTGCATTCCGTTTCTTGGGATCACTGTACATTGGATATCCCAAGATTGGAAACTAAAAGAACTTTTACTTGATTTTGTTAAATTATCTGGACTACATTCTGGTGAAAACCTATATGAATCTTTTGTACGATGTGTTTGTGATGACATGAAAATACTCACAAAGGTAGAGTAATTTGTTCATTATTAGTTGGCATAAATTATAATTTATTAATTATTTTTTATTATATGAAATTTAGATTATAGCTTGTACTACAGACAATGCTACAAATAATGATACCCTAATGAGTGCATTAGAAACAACTTGTCAGGAAAAAGGTATCTATTTTACTGCGTACAATAATCATATTAGGTGCATGGCCCATTTAATCAATCTTGCTGCACAAGATGCACTATCTAGTTTGAAAGTTGGATATGTTGAGAGTGAGGATGAGATTTTAAACCAAAATAAAGAAATAGTTGATGTCATTCCTAAGCTCCGTAAACTTGTTGTAAAAATTCTCGCATCTTCACAAAGATGAGAAAAATTTGCTCGCCAATGTGTAGCAGCTAACTTACCCTATAAAGAACTTGTCCTTGATGTAAGGACGAGATGGAACTTGACCTACAGTATGATCAAACGAAGCTGTGAATTGCGTGAGGTAATATTTGCCATCATTAATAAATTTTATTTATAATTGTTTATTAATTAATTAATCACTTTAGGCTTTAGATAACACCGCAACAGCAGATAAAGATTTATGCCGATGGGAGTTAGAAGATGCTGAATGGGAACTACTTGACGAAATAAACCAGTTATTACATGTAAGAATATTATGATTTATGAATTATATAAAATAATTATTTTTTATTGATTTACAAATTAGTGAAATTACAATATTTTTTATATTATAGATATTTGATCGTGCTACAAAACATGTTTCTCATAATCGTTTTCCAACAATTGAAAACTCCATTCCTGTTTTTAATTGGTTAATGGACAAAATTGAGGATTTTCAAAATAGTGATATAAAAGATGTTATAAAGACAGCGGCAATGAAGGCTATGAACAAACTTAAAAAATACTATCAGTATACAGATGCTTTGGTATATAGCATTTCTACCAGTATGTTTTTTTTTGTTATTTTAATTTTGTTTACTTATTTTTAACATTTATATTTTAATTTTATTTACTTATTTTTAACGTTTATATTTTTTTTTTAGTTCTTGATCCCCGGTTGAAACTTACCTACTATAAGGATAATAATTGGGAGGATGAATATATATTAGAGGCATGACAACATATTTACAATTTATATGAAACACAGTATGCGCCAACACTAGATCTAAATGTAGTTCAAGACAATGATATATCATCTTCCGATGATGATCTCTTTCAACATATATACAAAAAATGATTATCATCGAATGAAAATTAATTGTATTTATATCTTGGATGTCCTATTGTAGCTGGAGGTATAAATGGAATAAATTTACTGGAATGGTGGAAGGTATGGCTAATAAAATATAATTTTATTGGAAAATTTATAATTTATTAAATCTAAATTATTTATTTATAGTTGAATGAATCCCAATATCCTCACTTGGCGGCAATGGCGCGTGATTATCTCGCCATTCCTGGTAAATTCTTTAAAAATATATTATTGATCAAAACTTTAATTTACTGATTTAATGTTTAATTGTTTAAATTAGCAACCAGTGTACCAATCGAAAGAGCTTTTTCTGGAGGTACCGATCTTGTGACGCAAAAAAGATGCAGCCTTTCACCCGAAACTATAAAAGCGTGCATGTGTTTAAAATCGTGGTGGAAAAATTAGGATTGAATAATTAATGTAATTTTTTTAAAAATGTGATTTACTGAATAACAGGTGTTGCATATGTGATTAACTGTTTAAATTTTATAATCGAAAAATATATTAATGTAATTGGGTTCAAGTATTCCATTATTATTTTTATGTTGATACTCGATAAATAATAATTATCTAACTAATCTACATAACGTATCCATAAACCAAACAATTAAACTAGTCTCTTTTCTATAAATAAAAATATACCACGTTGATTTGAGTATAACTGATCGTACAAAGAATCCTAGAGTCCAAAACGTAGCCAGAATATTGTTGAACATTGAACGAAGTTCTAATACGTTGACTTTCTTGTTCTTCTTTACCTGGTACATCGTTAACGCGCATTTTCCTCAATTTATGGTTTGTTAACTTCATTTAAACAGTTTGTCAATATCTGACAATTTAAGAATTAAGCTGTTCGTAGTCCTTTCCGCATTTATTATTTGTTTATTATCATCTACCAGACTACCACTAATTTCTTTATGTGTATAATGCGCTATAATTCAAAGTATACACCTTGAGTATTATCAAAACGTTAATATTAATAAAGAATATATTAGGTCAAATAAAAGTGTAAAACAATAACTGAACTTTGAGTTTCAAATAAAAGAGAATTGTTTTGACACATTTCTCTCAAGAAAAACCAGACATTATAAAATACAATATTACCCAGTTAAATTCGATTCGGGTACTTAACTCGATTTGACTTGACCGATTCGAGTCGAGTACGAGCCAATACATTTTCCGAGTCGATCTGAATCGATTTGATAATTTTTTATAATTAAAACTTGACTCGGATCGACTCGTTTTTTTCGAGTCAAACCGAGTTTAATTTTAACTTAACTCGAATCGACTCGTTCGGAGCACTAGTCTTAAATATTGATTCACGATTTAGACTTCATCCTAAATGGTTAGCATGGTCATATTTACAATTAGAAAAAATTCGTAATCACCAAAATAATCAACGTATCTGGAGGCAAAATAAGGCTGATGAAGTTTATCGTCCACCAACTGCAGCAGAAATTATAAAAACATCAAGTTATTCTAATAGACTTATAATAGATGAATCTATAACAACAAGTGATACAAAAGGGGATTCATTCTCGTACAATGAAGGTTTCGTAATTATTCTCGTCTTGATCAAATCAACAGGTGTCAAAATCTCAAAAGTGGAAGTGTTCTGGTAATTATTGGTTGGACGTTTTACGTCAATAATTGTTGATTTGTGATATTTTCCTTCTTTATGCACACAGGATTATCCTCTATATGAGTCGAGTTGGTTGAGCATCCCTACTTTACCTACTTTTATTCGTACTGGTGATATATATTTTTATGAAAAAGAACTTCATGTAAATACAATGATTTCAACATTTGGATTACCATCACTATTTATTACTCTTACAATGGCTGAAAGCCACTGGACACATTTGCATAAAATTTTAAAAGCAACAGATAATCATGATACTATTCCAACAAATAGACCATTACATACTACATTACATTTTATACACCGTTTACAGCAACTTAAAAAACATATTTGGAAAAACCCTGAACATTCAGAATGGGGTAATTTAACTAACTTTTTTGAAAGAGTAGAATTTCAAAATCGTGGTGCAGCACATACCCATGGTGTATATTGGGTTTCTAAATCTATTGAACAAATGATTGCTAAAAATCTTATAAGATCTGATTTACCTGATCCAGATATTGAATCTGATTTATATGAAAAAGTAAAAGCAAATCAAGTTCATACATGTAGTGCAAAATGTGGAGGTTCAGCTACTTTAGGTCATACTTGTAAAAAAGGATTTCCTCATCCTTTTTCTCCAGTTACATATTTTGATATTGATACTCAACATTATATTTACAGATGTATTAAAGCTGAAGATCAATGGATAGTTCCTTATCATCCACAAACTTTAATGATTTGGAATGCTCATATGAATATACAATATGTTAGTTCTAGAAAATTAGCCTTTTATTTAACAAAATATATAGCAAAATCAGAACTATCCCATGTTTTCAATATACAAGAAGATGACAAATTCAAAGAACATATAGTAGCTCGAAGATTAGGATCTATGGAATTAATGTTCTTAATATTAGGAGAAACTATTTGTAACTCTTCCTGTGCTGTTACATATCTTACTACTGATCCTCCTACAAGTAGACAAAAAGCTATTCGACCTATTTATTTATTGCCGTTTTCAGAAATGTTGGCACTCAATGTGTCAATCATTTTTACAAAATGAACACACCGAACACACCGTGAACACATATAAAAAATTATGAGAACTTGAAGTGTGCGTATATAGTTTTACATAAAAACTATTTTTATCAATTTTTAGTTATGAAAAAAATTGAAAATGTTAAAATTTATACCGAACACACACCGAACACAACTGAACACAACCAAACACAACCAAACACACTGAATATAAGCGAATACAAGCAAATACAAGTGAATACATATATATAAATAATATAATTTTTATACATTTTTTTATGCACACTACCTAAAAATATATTATCGAAGTCTAATTTTTTGTTTTATAAAGGAAAAAATTTTTTTTCGCAATTTTAATTGCTGTGTTTTGTTTGTGTTCAGTGTGTGTTCAGTGTGTTCGATTTGAGAAATGATCAACACACTGAGTGCCAACATTTCTGAAAATGGCAATAATTGATGAAAATAATAATCCTTATTGGAAAAACCATATTGAAAAATATTTTGATCGTCCAGTAGAAGAAGAATTTAGCAATTTAACTTATCCACAATATTTTCAAAATTATGAAGTAGTAATAACTAGACCAACTAGTGCTCTACACGAGCCAAGCTGGCTCATGAGCTGGCTCAAGCTTTTCAAGCTGAGCCAAGCCAAGCCATGATTAAATTGGCTTGGTGGCTCACAAGCCAGCTTGGAAGAGCTCGAGCCAGTTATTAGGCTCAGCTCAAAAAGCTCGAGCCTGTAACAAACTTGGCTCAAAAAGCTCAAGCTGGCTTATGAGCCAAATGAGCTATTATACAAATAATGTTGCGAAATGTTTTTATATAATAATGCATGCATAAATGAAACGTTTTCGCAACTTTTTTTCATTGTTTATTAAAGAACGTTGCGAAAACATTTATTTAAGTTTTTACATGTAAAATTGAAAAAAAATGCTGGAACTAATAATTTTGGCATTTTTACATGTAAAATTGAAAAAAATGCCGGAACTAATGATTCTGGCATTTTTACATGTAAAATTGAAAAAAAAATGCCGGAACTAATGATTCCGACGTTTTTACATGTAAAATCAAAAAGAAATACGCCGGAACCAATTATTCCAGTGCTTTTACATGTAAAATCGAAAAAAATGCCGAAACTATCAGTTTTGGCGTTTTTACATGTAAAACCAAAAGGAAATACACCGGAACCAATTATTCCAGCGTTTTTACATGTAAAATCAAAAAAAATGCCAAAACTATCAGTTTTGGCATTTTTACATGTAAAACCAAAAGAAAATATGCCGGAACCAATTATTCCGGTGCTTTTACATGTAAAATCGAAAAAAAAACGCCGAAACTATCAGTTTCAGCGTTTTTACATGTAAAATTAAAAGGAAAAACACCGAAACAAATAGTTTCAGCGTTTTATATAAATATAAAAGTAAAAAATGTTTCACAACGTTTTTTTTAATAATTTAAAGTAAAAATGTTGCGAAAACATTTTTATGATAAAGCTCGAGCCAGCTCGAGCCCAGCTTGGCTCAAGCCAGGATTTTCATGGCTCAGCTTGGCTCGAACTGAGCTGAGCCAAGATTTTTTGTGACTCGGCTCATTTCAGGCTTGGCTTGGCGCAGATCTTCAAGCCGAGCCAAGCCAGACTGTAGCTCGGCTCGAGCCAGCTCATGTAGAGCACTAAGACCAACAACTCCACAGTTTATTTATATTGATAAATTAGGAAATTATGTAATTAAAAGAACAAATCAAAAATTAGTTAGATTTAGACATTTAAAATTAGAAGATGGAGAACTATTTTTTTATCAAAAACTTTTACTTGAAATTCCTTGCAGAAGGGAAGAAGAATTACTTGGCACTTTTTCAACATATTGAGAACATTGGCTGCATCATCATCCAGAATTTCAAGAAGAAATACAACAAGTTACCCAAGATTTTTTACGTTCACAACAATTAAAGATTAATCTTCAATTTAATAATTTATTAGAATCTTTAATTAATAATTTACAAACTATAATACCAGCTTCTATAACAGAACTTCTTACAATACAACTTAATTCCTTACGAATTGATCCTCCTATTTATTCCCATTGTAATGCATTAACTCTTCCAAATGATCAATTAAATGCTCTTTCTACAATTCGCAATATTTTGGGTGGCCCAAGTCATCAAAAAAACAAACATCCATATTTTTTCATTACTGGATCATCTGGTACTGGTAAATCATTTTTAATTAATTTAATTATTAATGATTTAAAAAGTAAAAGGTCAAATTATTTATTACTAGCTCCAACTGGTATAGCTGCTACAAATATTGGAGGTGAAACTATACATTCCACATTAAGGATTCATGAAACACACAGTGGATTTCAATCTTTAGCTTTTTATGATTATGATTTTTTCAAATATTTAAAAACTATAGATACTTTAATTATTGATGAAATTTCTATGGTATCAGCTACTCTTTTTAGTTTTATTTCTGATATGTTTTCTATTATTCAGCAACAAACTATTGCATTTGGAGGATTAAATGTAATAATTGTTGGTGATTTAGCTCAATTACCTCCAGTAACTGGCTCACCAGTATATAAATCATCAGAATGAAAACTCTTTTATCCTTTATTTTTAAAAGAACTACAAAGACAAAATCAAGATATGCAATATTATAATGCCTTACAAGAAATTAGATTTGGTAATATTTCTATAACTACATGGACTATTTTATATGAAAAAGAAAATAATTTTGATCATAATAAACCTCTTAACACCATTCTTAATATTACAAATATTGTTGGATATAACCAAACTGCTAATCGGATTAATAATATTATTTGTAATATGTTACCAGTAAATGAAGATAAATTTCTAATTAGTTCAGCTATTGATTATATTGATAACCAACAATACAATCCAGATGATACACAAAAACTTTTTAAAAAGAAAACTAATCTTTCCAGTCATTTATGTTTACAACAAGGTGCTCGTGTTATGTATCTTAAAAATAATTTAATAGATCAAAATATATATAATGGTACTATTGGAGTTATAACTGATCTTGATTTACAAAATCTAGAAGTAAGGATAGCCTTTAGTGTAAAAGGTGGTATTATTGATATTGGAATTAAAAAAGAAACTGCAACATTTATGATTAATAATGGAAAGCCATCAAGTAGATGTCAATTTCCTCTACAAAATGCATTTGCACTTACAGTTCATAAAACACAAGGTTTAACTTTACCAGAAGTTTCTGTAAGTCTTGATAACCAATTTTTTGCTGCTGGGTAAGCATACACTGCATTAAGTAGATATTCAGATTTATCTAAATTGCATATAGCTTCCTTACATCCTTCTACTTTTATTACAGATAAATCAATGATTGAAGAATATAAACGTTTAGAACAAAAAGCTGCTGTTCCATTACCTTTATAAATGTAAAATTTATTAAATATTAATTATTAAAATAATTAACATATTAATTTATTAAATAAAAACATTAGTATATTCCAAGTTTCTATACTTTTTTTTATATATTTTATTTGTATATTTAAAACTATAAGCCATAAATAAAATAATAACTCCTGGGGGACGAAGTCCCCTGGCAAATCGCATATTCTAGTTTTAATATGATATTTGATCTTTTTTTATTTGGGAATGGTTTGATCATGTCACATTCAGCCGATTAAACGTCATGTGACCTAAATCCTTAATTCTGCCGATCAGTGGATATAATGACCAAAGTTTTACAATAAATTTTACATAATTACTATTTTAAGTTTAAATTTTAAAAAAAAAACTCTTTCCCCTTTTTTATTTTTTGTTAGTTTTCCGCAGTAAATAGCGAAGTTTTTTTTAGTTTTAAATTTTATATAAACTCATAAGAGGAAGAGGCCCTATAGGGCGCCTCGGGCATACGATGAGGTTTTTAGTTCTTTAATATCCTACATTATAAAGGAATATGTCTTCTACACCTTTTATTGAAATAGACTGGTCTTCCGCTTCACAACATTCTTATCCTCAACTCGGTGACTCTACACCATCTGAAAGTCACTCAGCTAATATACCATACAATACTGAGCGGCCAGAAGTACTTTCCGCTAAGGATATTCTCTCTCTTGATATTGACGATATTTATCCTTATATGTACTCAACTCTTCATCTTGAAGACAATGAAACGGAAGAACACTACGACGATGAAGACTATTTTCAACAGCTACTACAGGCTAATTTAAATGCTGAAATAGAAGAAGTCAGCATACTAAGAAATGATATACCTCCTGTTGATAACCTCCCATACAAGACATTAATCCTATGGCACCTTTGGATACTGTGCCTTTCTTAGAAAAATTACCCACAGACGAGAAAAAAATACCTTGCTGGTTTCCCTGAAAAAATTTCACGTGACTACGCCAAAGCGTTCCGGTTATAACAAGATTTACGAAATTCGCCGATCTAGGAGTTTCTTTTTTGAGCTTGCTGATCATAATCAAAACACCAATGAAATTCATTTGAAGATACACACGAATGATTATCATATGAAAACTAAACCAATTAGTTATAATAACACAAGTTCGTTCCCTAATGACAAATATCAAATCAGCTGTATGCTTACGCATTTTTTTATCTCACAAAGAGTTCTCCCTCGTCGTGTACAAGATAAATATTTCAATTTTCTCCGCAACAAATTATTGGATAGAATCAAGATCATCAAATCACGTGCAACTAGTACAGCAAAAAGAAATTATTCTACAAAGACTTTTTTTAACTTTACTTATAAGAAACGTCACTTTTACTTTGGCATATATGTTCCTTGCCCTCATGTTAACGACCCTGAACACTTTCATAAAGATACACAATGTAGTATTCTACCCCTTTGTTATGTCACAACATCGACGCGCATGCGTCATTCATCAACATGTTTTCGTAAAAACACAATGTTTCAATAATATTAAACAAAAAGATATACAAAATCCGGCAACTACATCAACTGATTTTGTTAATAATAAGGCTTCTCATGCCAATTTATTATATTACAGATGGCTCGATAGTAAAACCAAACGTATTACCTCTAGACGACTGGGTATTTCATATGACAGCAATATTCATGCTAGAGACTCTCTATCTATCACCAAACGGGACAATAGACATATGTATCGTAAATCTTTGTCCAACTTCAAATATGATTTGAGTCCTAATTTACGCACTCAAAAGCAACAAGAAATATGTTTTAAACGCACTTGCCATCGTGTATTTAATAAGATGCGATTACCTTCCAATCGTGAAGCTAAAAATCAAGATTATTTGGCGATAGCGCGCAAATACCGTTTTCTATTTTTGAAATCTCAATATGTCAAAGTACCTATTCGACATTTACTGTACAAATATGCTCATACGATCCCTAACGCTGATGACTATCCGTTCTTGGTTCCTTTTTTCGCTATAGATGCCAATCATAAGAAACAAATCATGACTAAACTCAGTCAAGTGCCTACAGCACTTTCAGCACCTCCTTCTGATTACAACCCAATTCCGGATATATTCATACCCTCAAAATATCATGATATTATACCAAAGGATCCAATATATGTGAACGATCGTTATGTAGTTCCTGGATCTCGTGAGTGGTTTACTTATATGTACAATTTTGATGAATCTTTCTACCCACTAGAGGATAAAACCACACGTTATGACAGAAAAGGGAAATATATTCCAAGATATCCTATTTACCGTTCACAAGTCATCGGAAATTATGTACCAACTCATATTGTAGAAAAAGCTCAAAAACAGAGCCTGGAAAAGTTGAAGGCGGTTGCCTTACGCAAAGAATCAGCTTATTATGGAACTACTCCCAAACATTATTATTCTCAGATCAATACCATTAAATCCCTAACTGAGGCTTCAGATAATTTTCACACCTGCATACCTAAATATTTGGCGAAGAGAAAAGAAAATTACGAATATGGTTGTAGTAACGCCACATTAGATAAAAATCTTACTAAATTCCTCAAAAACAATAGACTCTGAACTCAAGGAGCTATGCGCTTTCCTACACATATAGTAGCCACAGTATCTGATGACACAGCTGAGTTTGAATATCACCCCAATAAACGGGATAACGCTCATAATGATTATCATTATTTGCCATTTCTAGATCATAAGATGAAATGACTCCGTCCTACGCCAATTACTACCAATGACTCCCTGGCTCCAGGACCTTCAAGTTCAAAGAACATTTAATTTATATATTATATATATTAGTATTCTCAATATTAGGAGTACGATACCCTTATCTAGTAGTATTAGCTACATTTCTGTTCATTTTCGTTATCACATGTATAACACAACTTAAAATAGTATGAAACACTCCACCTCTTACAGTATTCACAGGTGGCAACCTTGGTTGAAAGGAAAATACGGATCATTATTTTTTTTCTAATTTTGATTGTTTTATTATACCATATAACCTCTTCGCTCATCACATACTGTAGATAAAGTTAGACTATATTAACCGCCCTTTAACTTTCTTTTTTTTTAGATAGCCGCTAGTTTCTCAAATGGTTTTCTTATGGTTCCCATTTGATTTATTAGCGTAGTCCTACTTTATCAAATAGTACAGATCAAAGAGTGGGGTCCCGTAGGGATGACGAACAAAGGTCTATACACATATATTAGTTTTAAGTTTTTTCGAACTCTTTTCTTCTTCTATTTGTAATAGCCTGGGTTTTAACACTCTTTTAGTAATAAAATAAATAAATAAATAAAAATAAGTTTAAATTTTAAAAGTTTTTGTAAAGTTTTCTGAAAATAACTTTATTTAATATTAATTCCTTAAAAAAATATGATAACTATTTTTCAATTATATTTTTTTCTTAAAATTCTTTATTTAATTTATTTAATTTATAATTAAGAAAATGCTGTATTTTTTTCATAATTTTAATATGATAAATTTCATCTTTTATAAATAATAGCAAATTTAATTTATATATAACTATAATATGGGATGAGTGCTGAGAAAAGGGACCAAATTGACAAAAAATTTTTTTTAAAATAACAAATGTTCTGAATCAGATAATCAGATCTACATCTATTTTACTTATAAACTAAAAATTTCAATTTGGTCTCTTTTTCTCTTTTTCCAGCACTCACCCCAATTATCATAAAGTAATTAAAATATAAAGTAAATATAAATAACTATTATAAAATAACTTTTTTATGAAAAATAGCCTTTTATTTATATAATTAAATTTAAAAAAATAAAACTTCTTTAAAATTTATTATTAAATTGCATTAAAATTTCCAATAAAATTTTTTATTAAAAAAAAATCTTTTATATTAAAAAAAATTTTTTTAATAAAATTCTTTATCAAAAATTTTCTAATAAAAGTTTTTATATAAAAAAAATAAATGCTTTACCTATTTTAACAAATTGTTAGTATTTTAAGAAAATTAAAAAATAGTACTATCTGCTATAGAAATATTAAAACTAAAAATTGAATAAAAAAAATAAAATTAAAAAATCTGAAATTAAAAATCAAAAATAAAATTAAATGCTATAATAAAATACAAAATTTTATTATAATATTTTATTTTATAACCTTAAATTCTTTTAATTTTTTATTAAAGAAAAAAATCTTTATAAAATAAAATTCATTAATACTGCAATACATTTTTTATAAAAATTTACTAATAAAAAAATATTTCTAAAAAACAAACTTTACCAAATTACCGGTTGCACAAAATAATAATCTATGAATAAAATTGTTAATCATATTTTTTTTAATACACCATTATTAAAATTTAAATAATCAGAATAAAATTCTTGGAACAAAATTGCAAATAACTTGATGTCTATGTAAGATAAATGGATGAATTTATATTCATCCAAAAGAGAAAATTAAGACCTATCTAATGAATCCAAAAACAAATGAATTGATTCACTGGTTGCT